TAAATAAATAAATAAATAAATAAATAAATAAATAAATAAATAAATAAATAAATAAATAAATAAATAAATAAATAAATAAATAAATTTTATAATCTGCTCCTAATATATATTCTAACTGCTCTCATCCAGCTCCTAAAGTTAACCACCAAATCATACTTTTCTAACATAATACATCAACCAAATTGCCATAACTTGTCCATTAACACATATCCTTCATTTTTCCTACTTAATTACTTTTCCAATTGATGCATCTCGCCCTGAACTGATGAAGTTCTGCCAGCCACACCTTCCTGCTCTTCCTCTTCTCCCTTGAAATTGGTAACTTGATCTTGTTTCTTCTCTTCAATTTTTCCAGTTTCTTGACATCAAGTACCCCCACACACCATTTGTGCAACAAGTCTAGGCCTTTATCCAATAAAGTTATTCCATGATTTCTTCCAGTATATAGCACTCTCATGCATACTGGGTATCCCCAATTATATCTTATTTTATTTTTCATAAGGACAGGTTTTAAAGGCTTTAAAGTGTCTCCAGGATACAGTTCAACAGCAAGAGGTCTTGGTATACTTGAATAGGTACCTCTTTATATACCAACTATCCAGACTTTTGCCTTTTTCATAAACTTTTCCTTATTGAAAAAATTCTTAAATCTTACAAGATCTGTCAGAAGCATTCTAGTTCCACATTTGAAACCCACATATAATCTTTCTAAATGTTCATGAATTCAAGCCACACTATTTTTCTCATTTCAAAGCCCTTGTCTCTCAAACTCATCTAATCCTCTGCAGTTCCTTTTTTAAAACCACACAACTTTACATTTTTTTTCTCCATCCTCTATTTTCTGAATCAAGCAATTTATTTATCTTGCTCAATTTATTTTAATGCCAATAAAGTTTTGCAACATTTGCTTTAGCCATGTTTTTGTCCCCTCAATTCTTGAGCCCAATGTTTACAGGTGCTTCTCAACTTCTAATATTAATTTATCTATATCAGTCTTTAACTGTGTCACAATCCTCTGATAATTTAGTTCCATTTTTAATTGAATGCTGCACTAATATTTTCTTATAACTCCTTAACATTTACTTCTAAGCATTTCTTAAATCTATTTAACATTTTCTCTTCCTTCGCCACATCAGTTCTCTTAGTCTGAATCTTTTGAATCCCATCTATTATTAGCTTTTTATTCATCAGAGGACTCTATTCTCTAGATCGGGGGTCTCAAACTCAATTTACCTGGGGGCCACTGGAGGCAGAGTCTGGGTGAGGCTGGGCCGCATCAGATCTTCCGCCAAGTGGAGCAAGAGCCCGAGGAAACTGCCCAGGAGTTTCCTTAGCCCGGCTGGAGCTCCGAGGAGGAGGAAGCACCGCTGGGTGCTGAGGCGGCCGCTGGCCGAGCTGGTGCTGGGGGTGCTGAGAGAGAAAGAGAGCCAGAGAGCTGCTTCCCTGGAAGAGGTGGTGGTGGCTGCTGCTGTTTGTGGCGCTCTTGGAGGCGCTCTTTGAGGACAGGCTGGGAGCGAGCATCGCATGGCGCCGGCTCAGGTGCTTGGGGGAAAGGGCTGGCAGCGCGCCTTGCTCACCAGCTGCCCCCCAAGACAGCGTCTCTTGCACTCTCCATCCGGAATTGCAGCCTGCCAGCCAGCAGACAAGCGGGCCAGCTGGCAGGCTGCAGTTCCGGATGGAGGGTGCAAGAGGCGCTGTCTTGGGGGGCAGCCGGCAAGCGAGGTGAGACTTTTTTTGACTCTTGAGAGCAGAGGACACGTGGCCACTTCGGGGGGCAGGCAAGGAGAGGGCCGCAAACTATCATCCGGCGGGCCACAAATGGCCCCCGGTCCGCATGTTTGAGACCCCTGCTCTAGATGAACTATTTGATACAGTAGATGTGGCCTTTCATGTTTCCACTTGGAATCCACACTTCACTTCGATAGACTTCAAGGTATCAAAATGTGACCAACCCATCCACCAGAGGAAGAGCTCTCACCGAAGTATCCGTCCATCCATCCATCCAACTATCTATCTGTCTGTCTGTCTAAGCAGCTTAAGAGTCTTATACGCAAGAGTAGATCCTTTATTTTTCCTGAATCTGCTTTTCACAAATAAACATTAGGCAGCACGAGTTCAAAAAAAGATTCGCTTCTGCCCATCTTATCACAGCTTTGAACTCCAAGCCAACTTCAAAAGATTGTGTTTTCGTTAAGTGTTAACCCTTATTAACTTGGCTAAACTGAACAAATATTCCATCCAGTTTTAAATCAGATAAGAGGTGGCTGCTTCTTTCCTCCCCTTCTCACTGCTTCTCATGGAGAAATTGTCATGGTGAATATGGAGCGCCACCGCCTTAATTAGCCCTTATCAGTTCTTTCCTCTTTCAAAACATATTGATCATATTAATATGACTGCTTTTCAAGAGGATTATTTTAAAAATCTTTATTGATGAACTGAAGGTTTTTGCCAGTTAGCTGCTGGTCATACCAAGCCATGAGTGCCCCCTCATAAAATGTGTAGGCATCCTTCAGTCTCGAGAGACGATGGTATCGTGCTCTGTATGGAGGTCTTGGAACGGTGTCTTGTGTGGCTGAGAAGGCCAATTCGAGAGTGACAATCCCTTCCACACTGGAGACAAATCCAATCTGTCCCCTGTCCAGCTCCCTGGTTTTGCTTGTTTCAGGACTGCCTCTTTGCCTTGGTCTGCTGTACAAGTGTCTCTTCAAATTGGTAGAGGCCATGATGCACCGCCTGCCTCCAGGCTGAATGCTCAGACGTCAAGCTTTCCCATCTGTTGAGGTCCATTCCTAAGGCCTTCAGAGCCCGCTTGCAGATATCCTTGTATCGCAGCTGGGGTCTCCCTCTGGGGCGATTTCCCTGCACTAATTCTCCATACAGGAGATCTTTTGGAATCCGCCCATCAGCCATTCTCACGACGTGCCCAAGCCAACGTAGACGGCGCTGTTTCAATATTGTATACATGCTGAAAATAGCAATTTTTAAAAAAGGAAACAGAAATGCCTTGCTGGTCTCATCGGTTTCAAAGAAGGGCTGGGTCAGGCCCCAGAGTTGAAGGGAATGGCAGATGGGGCAGATGAAACCCTAGAACTGATGCCTCTGCCAACGTCTGGAGGCATTCAAGAAAAACATAGATAATCACCTGGCAGATATGCTTTGATTGTATTCCTGCACTGAGCAGGGGGTTGGACTTGATGGCCTTGTAGGCCCCTTCCAACTTCACGTTTCTATGATTCTGTGATCTGGGGTCAACACCTTCCCACCAATGTGGAAGCCACATTGACCAGGGCCTTACACTGTATCCTTTCACTTTTTCTAGAAATACGTGCAGGATATCCTGAAGGAGGAGCTAGCAGGGTCAGTCTACAAGGCACTGAAGGAGCAAGGCGGTCACATCTATGTGTGTGGTGATGTCACCATGGCTGGAGACGTCCTCAAGACCATCCAGAGCATCATAAGGCAACAAGGCCAGCTGACAGCAGAGGAGTCCAGCACTTTCATTAGTAAGCTAAGGGTGAGTGGATGTTTCCCAGAGAGCCACAGGACAGTGACTATGTCGTACCTAATGGAATCTATGGTAGTGAGCAAGCCGGTGGCCAAAAGCGTAACTTTTCCAGGTTGTGAGCGGACCTGGAAGATGCAATGCCAAAATGGAATAGAATATCATCAAAGGAGGGCCACATCACAGGCCTTAGCATCAATGTGCATGCGGTTTTACAACATGCTACAGGACACTGTAAGTTCTTCAAGAAACCTACAGTGTAAGCATTTAATAAATGAGGATGCATTGGGTGAGGATGAAGCAACAGAGAGAGGTGCAAGAGGTGAAGAATACATATTTATTTCCAAAGTAGCTTAGTGACCCTCCAGTTTGCCAAACCCCCTTTCTGCTTGCCTGTACATTAACTGTGCATTCTTCTCTTCTTCTTTTTTCACTTTGTAGGATGACAATCGATACCATGAGGATATATTTGGAGTCACTTTACGCACATACGAAGTGACTAACCGCCTCCGATCTGAGTCAATTGCGCACATTGAAGAGAGCAAGAAAGACACCGATGAGTGAGTTAGTTCTCTGTCTTTTTTTCTTTTAATTCATGCTTTTGTTTCCCCAAAATGTGTGGGCTGGAGGACAACATCTTTTTGTTGATTGAATTAGATTTGGGCAAAGTCTGATGTCATCCACATTTTGAGTCTTGTGCTAAGAATCACTGTGAATCATTATAGAATCAGTTTGTGGGATTTTTACAGCATCACACAACAGTCAAGCAAAGCACATGCAGAAGATCTTATGTTTCTGTCATCTTCAGTTAAAAGATATCAAGCAGAAGAGCTGAAAAATAACCCCTAGCTTGAGACCAGGGATAGGTCATCATTGACCTTCTCGTTGGCGTAGCCTATGGAGCTCAGTCCATTGGGACCCAGAGATAAAGCCAGGAGTCACCAAAAAAGCCAGGAGGCAGAACAAAAAAGTAAAGCAGAACTAAAATGTAAACTAGAACCAAATGATATCAAGATGGAAGCTCACACAGATAGCCAGAAATCCACTTCCAAAGGACACAGGTATCCACTATAGACAGTGTTTTAATTTAGGGGCCAGAGGAATGAAAGTAGGACCAGATAAATGGTGATCTGAGTGCAAATGTACCTATTTAGCCCTCACTCTTCCCCACTGAGTACTCTCCATATGTGTTGGGATCCAGCTCCCATCAGCCCAGGGGAGGGTACAAGTCGTAGTTTATCACATGAGGAGGGTGCAATGTTGAGGAAGGCAGCAAACCTTTTGTTGGTATGTTACCTGTTTAGATACAGATATCAGTGGCCCCAAATGAACAGAAAAAAGAGACAAGAGATTTTACCATCAACTGTTTTTGGGGAGTATAGAGTCCAACCCTGATCATGTGTTGAAGCATGTGGTAAGCAAAATAAACCTCTACAAGAACAGGGCACTTGTAAGCATGTGGTGTGCTTTCTGGTGGTATACTTTTTTTAGTGCAGGATGATAACAAACCATTTTTGGAGGACTTACCAGCTTCTCACTCCTATCTGGATCTTTAAGAATCTACAGGTCCAGCAGTAATGAGTGTCTCTCTTATTTCCAACGTACCATTCACTGTGTGGACATGAGGCAGGGAAATTGTCTGTTTCTCTTTCTTCTCTGTTTAGTTTTTTGTCTTTGTTTTTTCAAACCTCAACATCTTTTTCCATTACAAATGAGAAGTTTGAGTATTTGGGGGAATTCTCCACTAATGAACTAAAATAAAATTCCCCCCACCAATCTGCACTGACCAAATTCTAAAAAGGTACAGCTATAGGATGGAGAGGACCATGTTGTCCTTGCCTTCCATACAGCATTTAAGAAGAATAAGAGCCATTTTAAAAAAAAAGTATGTGGGAACAGCACTAATATGGTTTAATTCCAAGGGGACAGAAACCAGAAATTAAGCTTTCTAAACTCCCTGTTCCTGGATTGATGAATGTTAGGGTCTGTTTCTTCCATTTTTGCCTTTTTTAAAATCTTACACATTTAATTCCCACTCCTCATTATGAAGAATTTTGTAGGATTTAGGAATGCTTGTGAAAATGAGGTGAAGCGGAAGTCATAGGTTTACCTACAATCCCTTTCCCACTGACTCATAACTAGAGATAACCCCTGATGGGCGTCCACCCGGAAGCAACATCCCAGCTTCCTTGACCCTCCCCCCTGTGGGCACTTTCTCTCAGTGGGTGCCCACCAGAGCAGGAAGCAGGGCACCAAACTGCGAAACACCTGTTGTGGTGGGAGACGAACCGGGATGAACCCCCCAAGCCAGTGGTTCGTGCATCTCTGCTCACAACCCAACACTGACACTTAACAGAAATAATCCTGACCTTTCAGGATGGCCTCCTCCTTGACTTGTCTTCAGTTAAGTAGTCTCCAAACTCTGGATCCAAGACCTGTCTTTTCAGTGTTTATGCCTTCTGTGTACATTTCTCATTATCAAGTACAAAAAAGACAGGTTTTTTGCCCTGTGAATATTCCAGTCTTGGTAACATAGGGAAGACATTGGCAGCAAACAAGAAAAATCTTTTGAGTGAAAAAAAAACCAAGCTACCAAAGGATGTCGGTTCATAGTAACTCCAGTGGAGGGAGATTGAGCAGCAGTGCTTCTAGTGCTTCACGATGTGTGTGCTCTCTTTGCAGGGTGTTTTGTTCCTAACCTTGACCAACCGTTGCCCAAGATGGGATGCCAAACCCAGGCCAGTCACACAGCAGCTCCTGCTGCGTCTTTCCAGCCCACGTGAGGGCCTGGACCCTGTACTGACACATCCACATCCACTCCTTTTCTCCAGGGACTCCACAGCCCACGATAAAAGCTATCCTGTGTTTCATCCTGTTGTTGTATCCTGAAGAGATATGTGTTGGCCGACAGTACGGATGGCAGCAGAGGAGATTACCGTGAAGCTGATGATGATATTTTTCTCCATCCATCCCCCTTGCAGAAAATTCTCCTCCTCCTTGTACCCTGTGGCAATTTTCTTTTCACGTGCCCTTCTCTGGAATTCCTCTCCACTGAAGTGTGATGACTTTTCTCCACTTTCTTCCTCCACCTGTTAAAGAGGGGGCCATTTTTTTGGCGGCTGCATGAAATGGCCACCTAGCTACCATCATCTGCATCGTTTGGTGTTCCAGGGTGGGGTTAAGCAGTGGAAGATCAAGGACAGCAGCAGAGAAATGTGGAATCAACACCATATATGTCAAAATATCTGCCCAGCATGATCCGCTTTAAGCAGGGAGACCTATTTCTCCCCTTCTTTTTCTTCTTCTGCCCTCTGGTCAGAGGAGGAGAGGAGGCAAATGTATGCATGCTTTTGTTCCTGTTCAGCATCTTAGTTCTCCGTGCTGGGTCTCTATTGAACAGCTATCAATCTCACTTTCATTGGTATGCTGTGTTCTGTTTGTCGTATCCAAACGTCATGTGTTGCTCTGGCCTCCTGATCCTCTCCTTGTGTAAGATTTGTTCTGAATCCTCTGCACTGTGCCTATGTACAGCCAAGTAATTTAATAATGATAATAATCTTAGAACTGCAGAGCTAGGAGGGACCCTGTGGATCAGAGAGTCCAGCCCATCTCATGGAGGCACAATGAGGTATTGAACGCGCAACCTCTGGCTTCACAGCCAGGCACCTACTGTAAATGACTGAGTTATTTCAGATTCTGTATTTACTAGTTTTCAAAGGGGGAAGCCTTCTTGAGATTGGATATGCAGAAGCAACGGTGGTCTTCCAAGTGTGTTCTGACTGCAACTCCCATTAACCCTCGCTGTTGAACTGTGTTGCATCGAATTGATCTGAGTTGTAGGCAACAACATCTGCCTAGCCCCACACACGCACGTGAAATTGTCAGCTGGGTTATTTCACTTCCTTCAAAGCATGGCGAGTCAGGCTTGCTGCTTTCACCACAGCCCCATTCTGGGGAGGGGGACCGAGTTGCGAAGGTGGGCAGCCTTTTTAACCAACAGGCTGTCATCCACGGGCTGTGCCCTGCCTTTCAGAGCTAAGGGGTCGGGGTGAGGAATACAAATGAGAGAAGGTGGAAGAGCTTATGCTTTTTTTCACTTCCTGTGTTGTGTGTGCCTTTGTCCTACACAAGCTAGAAAGAGTGGTGGCAAAGGGCCGCATCTGTATATAGTCAGCCCAACATATTTTGCTCCCTGAGGCAAGTGCAGTACTCCTCCAAAATAAAAAAAGTTTTAAAAATAATTATTTTGTTATTTGGGGTGGCAGTAATGATACAGTAGAGTTAAATTAGATTTTGTGGCAAGGGTGTAGTGTGTGTTGCTGTGCACCCCGCTAGGCCCCTCACCAGTGGAGCCAGCATTCCCTATTAATAACTCCACGGGGTCCACCTCAGCTTCTTGACATATCAGTTTTTATTTGAGTTACAGCAGTACAGTGGTGCCTCGCATTACGGTTAATTCGTTCCAGCTAAATCGCTATAGAACGAAAACGTCGTAATGTGAAAAGAAAAAATCAATTGAAACACATTAAAACCCGTTTAATGCATTCCAAAGGGCTTGAAACTCACCGTCCAGCGAAGATCCTCCATAGGGCGGCCATTTTCGGTGCCTGTAATGCAAGGAATCCGTCCCAGAAAACAGCAGGGAGCCATTTTGTTTACTCAGCGGCCATTTTGAAACTGCCGATCAGCTGTTGGAAAATCATCGTTTTGCGAAGAACCGGTTCCCGAAGCAGGGAACTGATCATCGCAAAGTGAAATTCCCCCATAGGAAACATTACTTTGCGATTGCAAAAACTTTGTCGTAATGCAATTTCATCATTAAACGGGGCAATCGTAAAGCGAGGCACCACTCTAGTTCCTTCTGCCTTCTCTGTCCCCCCCCTCCCCCGAGAGAGCACGAGAATTACAGTCTTTAAACAACTTGCAAGCTTGGTGACTCGGTTAGTTTCATTGGAATTCTCCTAGAGAGCCCAAGTTCTGGAAGGCAGGAAGGAGAAGAGAGCTTACGTCCAGGGCACACCCTTTTTAGAGAAGGCCTGTATAATAAGCACAAGAATTCCATCTCTGCAGCTTGTCTCTCCCAATCTGTTCCTTCACTTGCCTCTCCAGAACGACATCATCATCCAGACTAATGTAGCCTTGTTAAAGTGCATGGCTGGAGTCTCCAGTGCCTGGCTCCTGTCACAAGGCAATAAATCTGGTGAGGGTAGACTGCTTCTGACATCTTCCCACAGGTCATCTTCTTCCTAGATAGACAGCAGCCACTTTTCTTCCCAGTTCTCCTTGTTTATTCCCCTTGACTCTGTTCTTCCACTTGTCTATCATGAGGATGCTGTCACTCCTGCAGCCTGATCCTGCAGAAACTCACCGTCTTCCCAGCTGCTTCCTACTGATGTGCTGGGGTGAGACGGTTCACAGGGGGGTGCCTGCACCCTCACACAATTACCCTCCCCAAAGTTTAAAAAAAAAACAGACCAGAATATTCTCCTCCAGTTACTCTAAAATATTATGTTCTGGTTGGCATGGGTGGCGGGATTCATATGAATCCTCTTGATCTTTGTACATCTTCCTGGCCTGCTTTGTGGTGCACCAAGAGATGACCCTAAGTGTGGTTTTTATTCACATAGTCTGCTTGTGTCTTCCTCTGCGTGTGCCTGTAATGTGTGTGTTGTGGGAGGGGAGTCCTGCCACAAAGAGGAAGGAAACCTTCGAAACGCAGAGAAGGGGAGAGAGTTCAGCTACCACACATGCCCTACCCATGTTGATACTTAGCTTGGGATTCATTGACCCATACCTTTCCCCCTTGCAGGCAGACAAGCATTTAATACTAGGTTGATCCTACCACTAGTGCTGGTAAGACAGGCCTTCCCGGAGTCATTTCCTCCGAAGGAATTCCTTCTTGATATAGGTTTGCATCCATATACATCTGCCATATTCAGATCTCTTTACATTATTCCACATCTCCCCGTTCCAAATATTAGTTGCACTTTTTTATGAGGGCGGATCACATAGTCACGCATTCACATTATGCACCAATGAACATTTCTGGTATTTCCTTAATCATATCAGAGTGTTGCATAATTTAAAATTATGAATGTACAGTATATGAAATATATGTAAAGTTCAAACCAATTTACAATGTTAAAATGGTTGGACTACATTTGACCAAAAGTGGGCTACTTCAATAGCATTATCTCAGCCATTTACTAGTCTTTAGTATATGTGGTGGGACATAAATTGCATGCACATAAGTGTTGCATTGATTGAATTTCTCCACAGTCATGTTAAATTTGCCCTGTATCCAAATAGCCCCATTTTATTTGATTATCTTTGATCTTCCTACTTTGAAGGCTATTAAGTGACTTCCTGATGGTCCAGGGAGAATCTTGTCATGGTCGGAGACACTCGTCAGCCATTTGGCAAGATGTGTTGTTTTTGCTCTCCATAGATTTAGCCTAACTTTTTCTAGTTTAATATTTAGATCTTGAGATGTGTGCAGAAAACTTTTCCTTGATTAATGTCCATTAAGTGAATGGGTTTGATGCTGTATTACCTTATTTGTTCATTATTTGCCAGCACCCCTGAACATACTTTCAAAGGGGCAAATAATATTCTTCAGTGGGGGTAGATTTCAAGCAGTCAGTAATAATCCTGCATGATTCATTAAGAACTACCTCCACTTGTTTGACATGTGCTGATTTATACCATACAGCACTAGCATGTTCCACTGTGGAGTAGCACAGGGACAAAGCTGTTGTTCTTATTGTTTGTGGGCAATCACCCCAATCTGACCCAGCCAGTTTCCTAAGTATGTTATTTCTGACAGCAAATTTCTATCTGGAGTTTAGACAATGTGCTTTGGAGATCAGGATTCAATCCCAAATTATGCCCAAATACTTGGGGGTAGGGCAATGTTCAAAACTCTTGCCCAGCTAATTCAGAGCTTCCTCTCTGCTTCTCCTCCACAGGAAGGCGTAGACCTATGTTTTTAAAGGGTTTGGTTTTAGCTGGTTGTTTTTAAGGAGAGATAATCTAAATATAAGGAGAGATATTCTAATGCAGAGGTTAAGATTTTTGGTAATAAGACAAATATGTTTATATACACAGAGACACATTCATAGCATTGGCACACAACTGTGCACCTTGAAAAGGCAGAATATATTTCACTATGCTCTCATTCAGGTGTTCAGCCTGAAAGCATATAGGGGTCAATCAGTGCAAAGGCTGAGACACAAGTACAGGGTAACTGATACCATCACATCTCCGCCTCACATGAAAGTCCTGCAAACTTTCACGTATTCAGCAGGAAGGTTTATAATAGACATTGAAAGTATGTCCATTCTTTTTCGGTAAAAATCCCATGGATGTTTCAGCTGAATGCACTTGCAGTGTTTCTGTGATCAAAAGGAAGGGTAGCCAGTCATGAAAATTCTGTAACCACATTCAGCTGAATGCGCTTGTAGCACCTAAGGAAGACTTCATGCAGCTCTCCAGTCTGCAGGTTTCCAGGTAGGAGGAATGCGGCTTACCTCCATTGTCTCAGCACCGTCATCCTTTGAGCCCTACATACCTGCCAGCTGAGCACAGCTAGTGATCCCTAAAAATCCAAGCCATCCACATCCTCTCCAGAATGTGGACAGATCTTCCAGATCTGCAATAAATTATAATCTGAATTATTCTAATGAGAAGCAGTAGGTTATTTGATAAATAAATCTGTAGCAAAACAGCTGACTCCTAGGTTGGACTTGAGTAACCAAAGCTGCTCTCCTTTCATTCATCCGAGGAGCTTGTTGCCACTGTCTACAAAATATGCCCACACCAGCTTCTAAACTGAGGCGGAACATTTCCCATGTACAGAGCTACTGTTAACTCATATTTCTACTCTTTCACTCATATTTAGGCTCTTTAGGATTTAGTAGTCTGCCATTCAGGACGAGCTTGAAAAACTGAAGGTACAATTTTCATTAGAGTCCCAGGCAATGCACACCAAATAGTGGTCGCCCCTGTGGGCCAAGAATGTTTCTAGTCAAGTGTTTGGTTGTTCCTGTAGACAAGAAGTGGGAATCATTTTGGCTACCAAGGCCTAAAACCCACTGAGCTACTTCTAGATTTTTCCATTTCATCTCAAAAATATATTTTGTTTTCAAAAACTTGGATAGCTATATCTTCAGAGGACAAAGGGCTCCTCTAAAACAAAGCATGAGCCACATCTAACTTTATTGTGCTGCAATGTAGAAGTCCCCCCTCCCCCGGGATAGAGGTGGTTTTTCCAGTCACTTTGCTTTCCTTACCTTCCCAAGTCTGATATAGACTATATAGACATATCCGGGAGCAGAACAGATGAGGAAGCAGACCATGGGAAGCTACTTATAAAACATAATTGCACAGCATGGATATAACAAATAACTAGTTACTCCTATTCATTCCTTTTCCTTCCATAACAAATGTATAACTGTGTTAGTGGTTGTTCTGGGTTTTTCGGGCTCTTTGGCCGTGTTCTGAAGGTTGTTCTTCCCCTTAGCACAACAATACAGCCACAACAATACAAACGAATCGCCCATCTACAGGGGAAAAAAAGACAAAGCTTATCTCACAGCCATAAATACTCCACTCCCAAGCAGACTACACCAGAGCACAGGTTGCTGTCCTCTGAAGATGCCGGCCACTATGGCTCTGAGATAGGCTTTTGTCTTTTTTTTTCTTCCTGTAGATGGGTGATTAGTGTGTATTGTTGTGGCTGTATTGTTGTGCTAAGGGGAAGAACAACCTTCAGAACACGGCCAAAGAGCCCGAAAAACCCAGAACAACCATTGGATCCCGGCCGTGAAAGCCTTCGCGAATATATTATAAATGTGTTAACTGATGATAGTAACAAAATGCAGCATAACTTCTTTTTTAAAGTAATCTTCTGCTATATTGCTTCTTAACTGTATGCAGTGGATCTAATTCTGAGTGGTGATGCATGGACTGTGCAGACAGTAACTGCACTGGCAAATCTGGCATAAACTGAGTTTTTAAAATACCAGTGAGATTATATACTACTAAAATCCTTTGGTATATCCTACATCTCAAGACCAGAATACACGACATTCAACCCAAATTCATGCATTCTCCAAATCCTGATTTTGTATCATGCCACTAGGATCAAACAACAAAGAAATGCAAAACATTGCGAAAAAAAAATACCATCACACCTTGATTGTTTCTCATCATTTAATGCAACATGTTAGCAATCTGGTTTTTTCCAGACACACTCAGAGCACTTTGACCTTTAAGCATGTTGGTGAATACAACTGGATACCAGGAATGCAAGCCCCTTTTAAACAAAGTTTAAACAAAGATGTATATGTTTCTTTACCATCTCTATATTCCAATATTAATTTTTTGAGCTATAGGAGAATTGAAAATGCAAATAGAAAAAGAGGGATGTATAAATGCAGGAAAATCACAACTAGTAGATCCAGTAAGGGCCAGC